CCCCACACACGTTTCGTGGCCCCATAGGGAGCTCCACCGAAGGCCCCAGTGGCTGCGTTGGCATGGCGGCGCCGCACCCATTTCGGCACACCCCTCACACGGTTTCGTGGCCCCATAAGGAGCTCCACCGAGGGCTCCAGTGCCTGCGTTCGCATGGCGGCACCGCGCCTATTTCGGCACACCCCTCACACGTTTCGTGGCCCCATAGGGAGCTCCACCGAGGGCCCCAGTGGCTGCGTTCGCATGGTGGCACCGCACCCATTTCGGCACACCCCTCACACGTTTCGTGGCCCCATAGGAAGCTCTACCGAAGGCCCCAGTGGCTGCGTTCGCAAGGCGGCACCGCACCCATTTCGGCACACCCCTCACACGTTTCGTGGCCCTTCGGGCGCACACCGAGGGCGCCTGTGGCTGCGATGCCTGCGGCACCCGCCCCCTTTCGTCACACCCTCCCACGTTTTCGTGGCCCCTAGGGAGCTCCCCGAGGGCTCCTGTGCGCTGCGTTTCGCAATGGCGGCACCGCACGCATTTGGCACACCCCTCACACGTTTTGTTGGCCTCTAGGAGCTCCGCCAGGGGCTCCAATGCTGCGCTCGCCTGGCGGCACCGCGCCCATTCGGCACACCCCTCACACGTTTCGTGGCCCCATAAGGAGCTCCACCGAGGGCTCCAGTGGCTGCGTTCGCATGGCGGCACCGCGCCCATTTCGGCACACCCCTCACACGTTTCGTGGCCCCATAGGGAGCTCCACCGAGGGCCCCAGTGGCTGCGTTCGCATGGCGGCACCGCACCCATTTCGGCACACCCCTCACACGGTTCGTGGCCCCATAAGGAGCTTCACCGAAGGCCCCAGTGGCTGCGTTCGCATGGCGGCACCGCACCCATTTCGGCACACCCCTCACACGTTTCGTGGCCCCTTAGGGAGTTCCTTCTCATTCGCTGAACCTGTTTTGCGGTACTCGCAACTGCATATGGTTGGGTCCATCGCCAGGACCCAGTGGCCGCGTTCGCATGGCGGCGCCGCATCCATTTCGGCACACCCCTCACACGTTTCGTGGCCCCATAAGGAGCTGCACCGAAGGCCCCAGTGCTACCGCCCTCATGCGTCCCGTACGCCCAGGACAGCGTTTCGTGGCACGCCTTTCGTGGCCCCATAAGGAGCCCCACCGAAAGCGGCACCCACAAAGCGTTATTCACAATTGCATATGGTTGGGTCCTTCGCCAAGATAATTTTGTTTGTGGTGGTGGTGGTGGTGGTGGTTGTGATGGTGAGTTGTGGCTGTGGTGGTGGTTGTGGTGGTGGTGGTGGTGGCTGTGGTGGTGGTGCTGGTTGTGTGG